TTTGAGTAATGTCATTTTAGTGATATTTCTAGTTGCAAAAGTTGTTACTATACAGACAGTGGGTAAGTTTATTTCGGAGTAGATTATTGCAGTGTTGAAATATTGAACTATAAATAAAGGTATACATTTTGCCACTAGAAACATCACTAAAATTAATAATAAAGGCTGTTGAAATTCGAGTTAGTCATTCTGTCAACCGAAAGGCTCATTTATGCGTATGGAGGTTTGAAAGTATTTCTGAATATTTAACCTATAAATGATTATGGATCCTAGGGCTATTAGTTATTAACCTGTTATTTTCCATTGTAAAGTTTACCAAAACAAAATTACGAGATTTTCATTACCCTGCTATGGATTGGTCAAAAGTTGACACACTACTTGTAAGTGGATAATGTTTGGATTTTACAAAGGGAAAATTCATCAAATTATTCACTAATTTAATTTTCTAAAAAGTTACTTGATAATTTTTTGTAATAAATGGCCAAAAAATACCTAATTATTTAAATATAATATCTTATATAGAGTTATTAAACTACAGTAAATGTATTTAAGGTTATAAATATATATGTGAGATATTTTTTCATTTATCTTCTTATTTCAGACAAGTACAATGAAATAGTATTTTACAATAGCATTGGCTTGTTTCGGTTGGTTTTAACTAGTTTTTTTTGCAATATTAGAACAAAATTGAAAAGTTTACATTTAGTAAGAAAATTTCATTTAAAAATAATGTTTATATTTTTTTGTCACTCTCCGTTACCTTCTACAACTTTCTATATTAAGTATAGTTTTTTTTTTTATAAAATTATTCGCTTTCCAACGATTTATTATAGGCATACCTTCTGACTATTATTTCCGAAGATTCATTTTAGACCTGGATAAGCATTTTTCTTTCTTTCTTCACTTTCCAATTATCATGTTCTTTCGAATTTCATATTTAGCCTTTTTTTATAGTTACTGTAAATAAAAGAGATTTAATTTTTTTTAAATGAACCATTTCAAAGGTATTTTAGAGAAAGACGTATATGAACATTGGCCATTTAAGCCCTGTAAAGTGACATCAATGGTGATAAGACCTGAATGTTATTAAATACTACTTAAATATACAATGAACAATGATTAAATATACCGAGTTTAATCAAAATCGTTGGAGCCGTTTTTGAGAAAATTGTAAAAATGTATTTTACCGTTGATTGACATAAAGTGGCACTTCTGGTTAGGTGATTTTAAAGGAAAAGTTGCTGTGAGATCTAAGGCATATATCTATCTTAAATATGTAATATGAGTTTCGTACGACTTTTCATTTTTGAGCTAGACTGTTCACATACACACAGACCATTAAGCAGGACTTGTTTATTTGGAGTCAGGGGACCTCAAATGTGTATTTCCATTGAAAACTGAAATTCAAAAATTTTCACGATCGCAATTATTTCCTTTACTATATATTACATATATAGATAAGTGAAAGTAAAAATAATACCTTATTTATCTACTGAATAGAAGGTTATCTAATATTTCGTTACTGAGGAAGAAAAATAACTACCTCGTTAGGATCATCTTGTCTTGACTGTAATTGTTAGTGATTATATTGTATCCAGATATTCCTTTAAAATAATTTTAATGGAGTTCATATGTAATTATGTGATTTGTTGTACTGAATGGAATGATAAAGTACATTTAATGGTAGGAGTAATATGAAACTTCTATTTTTTTTCTATATCCTGTTCCAAACTAAATTCGTTGGGCTTTAAGCCGTAAAACTAAAAGGCTGTTTTGTTTAACTCTGTCCTAAATTTAACTGATTCTTGTTCTTTTAATTATAAATAAATTAAATTTTAATTTTTACTGAACAAAGATAAAGAGAAGCCGGCATTTTGTGAAAGGCGGTGCGAAAAATTACCGAACGAATGTGTGTTAAGGTCGTTTTAAAAATTCAAGTTTTTCGACCAAATCTTTGTTTTAGACCAACCGTAGAGTTAATCTTTTACACGGTCAAGTTTCTCAAAGTCGAGATTTAGGTCAACACATTGTTTCACTTGGTCTGCCAATCTTGACCTTACTGACTTTACTTCAATAAAGTCGATACTTTCCAACTTACTTTTCGAATGGTCTATTTTGTGTTGTTTGTTATCCGTGGTAAATAATTAAGGAATGGATTATTCCTTAATTTCTCGTGCAATTATCCCGTAAATAATGGTACATATTTAAAGAAGAGATAGTAAACCTGAAGAGTACAAAATATTTTACATAATCGACGTAATGTCGTACATCATTGTCTGTCCCTTATTATCTCAATGAATTTTAAAACTTGGTCGCGGGTCCAACCCGACATTTTTACAATGAAAAAAATACAAGAAAATAAAGAGTCATAGTAATTTTATTTTATTTTTCATACAAAGCATAGTATTTTTCCTGTAGACTAGGAACGCTGATATAGTTTGGTCAAAAACTTTCCAACATTGTTGGTAAACACGGAGCCTTGGCATTGAGATACGGTTGTAATCCAAAACAGCAGGTCCGGTAGGAGTTTAGCAAGAGTCTTTTGTAATCTGGAAGTTTTCCACTGGAACCTGAAGAGAGCGTACTGAACTGTCGAGCTCTTGGATCTGCCAGCTGATGGTCAGATTCTAATATCTTATGACGGAGTAGTTGCTATTTCCATAACATAGGTACGTTAAGGTCGTGATGGCCGAACGTGTTAAAGCGTAAACTATAAAATTCTCGATTCTAACGACACACAGTGGTAAATTTAATCTAAATAGCTGGCCAAAATTCGATTTTTCAAAATGGATTAATTTGAAAAATTCATGATTCTAAAAATAGTTGAATCTTTAAGCTATAATTAAGTTATATAGGTATTTTTGTATCTAAGATATTTGTTTTACTTTTATTTATATTTTTACTTACTTATGTGTATATATATATTTTTTTTTCTTTTCTCTTTTGTTCATTTTTCTTATTCTTTTGTTATTACTTTATTTATTTATATTTCATTATATACGGTATGAATGTACTCTCAGAACTCAGAATTATAAGTGTCCTTAACTGTGACAGATTGTAATATTTCTCAATAAAATGTTTAATCTCTCAAAAATAATTTATAACTCCAGCTGATTTACAATATCAACATTCAAAAGTTGATAATCGTCGAATCACTCAGGTATTTTAGGTGCATATAATTGGTACCGTTATTCGTTAGAATGAATTAATTGTTGATTTTTGGTTTATCCCCCGAGGGGTTAAACCCCTCTCAAAATTTGAGGTTTCACATTTCAGGAACTGTATAATTCGAAAAACGAATACAATTTTTTTTGTCCGTCCGTTGTCCGCGCATTTTCTCCGAAACTACTGGACCGATTTTTTTCAAATTTGGATATAAAATCAGAGGATAACCTGAGGATGATTAAATGATTAAAAAAAAGGTTTAGTCCAATAGTTCGAATCACCTTTTATTTATTTTTCTTTGTAACAAGGAAGGTTAGATTAAACCATTATGAAATAATTGTCAGCGTTTTTTTTCTCTTTTCAATTATTTAATCTTTATAATAAGGTTTGTAATCAATTTTTATGCATTTCCAACATTATTATGACTAATCCATGAGCATATATTAGCCTTTGAAATTATATCATATTTTTTTCGTAACATTTCCTTAATGTTTAAGATATATTTCCAAAAGCTTTTAACCTACAATTTGTATTTTACTTGAAGATTAGGGTTTCTATTTAAAACACAAAAATAATTATTTGCCTATGTGTTTATATCCAACTGGTACTTTTTACTAACTACTAAAATTAAAAAAAAAACATTGTTTTTCAATTTATTTTTTATTTCAATTAGGGTGGTATGAAGTTAAAATAATGTTGCTGAGTTACTGAGATAACTCCACAACAGCAAGAAGGGCTAAATATAAACCAGGAACTTCAATTAAAAATAAGTTTATGATTTTATTGAGTATTAATATAGTCCGCCACACTTAAGCCACACGCCACACAAAATATTTTCATTAAAAAAGTAACGAATTTTTATATAAATTATATGATCATTTAATTATTATTCATGTATTGTCTCTATACAATATCATTTATACCTAAAAACTACATTTAAATTTACATTGCTTCATAAATTATTGAATCATAAACATTTGAAAGCAAAATAGTTCATAAATAATTTATGGCAGTTCTGTAGGTCACTGGTGAATCCAGGATTTAATTTTGGGGAGGAGGAGGCTTCAGCCCGAATGCCTTTTTTCACGGTAATTACTTTGAAAAAAAAGAGAAAATAACTACCTGCATGAAATGGTGCTTAACTGATTTCTAAAGTCCTTTTAAATGTAATTACTTGAACAATAATACTTTAAGAGATAATTTTTTAATATTTTTTTTCATGAAACATGGTTATATTGTACTATTTTGGGGGAAGTTTTAGCCCCAAAGTCCTCCCCTCTTAGATCCGCTCGTGCTGTAGGTTAAATTTACCTGTGACTAAGGTTTGAATCCGGCTTTGGGGAGTTAAAATTTATTTCGTGCCAGACTAGGAAATGGCGGAATGGCTAAGCTACACTTATCGATAAAAATATATATATATTTAAGTTTCCCCTTGATATAAACTAGAAAAGCATTTCTTTAAAAAAGATTAGGTATTTTCTTCTTTCTTTCTGCTTTTTGATGAAATCACACGATTTCATAAGTAGTGCCGTTCAATGACGAAAAACAAAATTAGTGTATTTTCATTGTTCTTCTCTCACTCTTAAAATATACCTATTTTTTTTTTTCAGTTTAGCTTTCAATGGTTATTTATAGGTACATCCGTGTTTTGTTTTTTTTAGAATATCCATAACAGTTGAGAATTACCATTATTTAAATACTAATATTAAGACCAATTTATTTTTTTTAGTCGCTTATTATATTTTGATTAAAAAAAAAAATTATTTATTCTGGTAGCCTTAGTCCTCTTACAATTGTAAAAATATACAGTAAAAGGAAATTTTTCTTGCTTACTATTATACCTTAATTAAATTAATAGATAAAGTTAAAGTGGTTATATGATTATATGATTGCGGTAATAGTAGGCCAAATAAAAAAATGATTAATAAGACATACCTTCAGTTTCTTGAACTTGCAGGCCATCTCGAGTAGTTTGAGCGTGGCGAGAGTATTGATTGTGACCAGTGTCTTGAGCGGATCTTCCAGTTTCAAAGAGGCGGCGAAGTTGAAGATGATGGAGACGTTGTCTTCCAAGTTCTTGACCTGGGCTTCGGAGAGGCCGATGTTTTCGAGCCCAAGCTCTCCCTCAAGCGGGACCAAGATCTTCAGTCTCTCAGGACAGGCTTTTCGTACGAGGTCGAATGCCTAAAAAAGGTTGAAGAACATATATTGAATATATATATATATATATAACATATATTGAATATATATATATATATATATATATATATATATATATATATATATATATATATATATATTAATGGTGTACATTGCGTATGTTATTTTAACTTCATAGGTATATACAAACCTTAAATAAGGAATTTCAGTTGCGTTCGACTTTTCGTTTTTATTCTAGGCTGTCGACATAAACCATTTGTGAATCTTGGTTATTTAGGCTCAGAGGAATTCACAACGGGTATTTAAACTTTAATTATCTTACTTAATATTATCTATTATCTATATTCTAATAACTCAAATTAGCTTAGGAACGAGGTGGTCCATCGGGCTAATGCGTGTGCACATCACGCGTTGCCCAGCAACCCAGATCAATTTTAATTAGATAAAATAATTAAAGTTCCCGTCCTGATCCCCGGAGGGAAGGAGGAGCTTTTAACTTTGGCATTAATCCCTCGCCCTCGTCCAGTGGCCCGGAAAAATCCATTATAGCTATCCTACACTATTTAAGCTTAAAAGGCAAGGAAGGGGAGGACGCAACAAAAAAAAATCTGGTTTGTCCAATCATACGACTTTCTTACCAATTTCAGAAAAGTTTTTATGTCCATTAAAAAACAAAAACAAAAATTGAATTAGATTTATATTCCTCATACCACACTGAAACGACTAGAAACCGCTCGACGTTTCCGATTACTTCAGCATTTAGTGGACAAACGCTCTAAACTTCCAATTAATTACAAAAGACTAATATACATGACTATAATAAGACCTATTTGGACTTACGGAGTTTAACTATTGGGCTCCACTAAACCATCGAATTCCTCTCGCATCCAATCCTTACAATACAAAATCCTTCGTAAAATCCTCAATGCTCCCTACTTTGTTACAAATAAAACCATCCATAATGACCTTAATGTTCCTTATGTTTCAGATCTGGCCCAATCCAGATACCTATCCTTCCATAGTAAACTTTAGAACTATCCCAACGCTCTCGTTTCTAACCTTGCTTCCTCTTCAATTCCTGATACCCTCCGATGCGTCTGAAAATAGGATGGCTCCGTGTTCTCCTAATGTAGACATATCATTAGAGTGCTACTATTGGGTAGTTACTCAGCAAGTGTTTTCATGTCATTTTATCCATATGCTCAAATTTACTGGATGTATTTATTTAATACAGTTGTAAATATCATTAAGAAATAATTAAAAAATTATATTCCTGAAAATTGATCAATGAAAAGATTTTGAGAACGATTTCTTTGATAAACTAAAGCAATGTAAACCAAACCGGCTTGTGTAAAAATTTCAATACCCTCTAATAGTATAGGTAGAAAAGTAATAAATTAAAACATGTATAGAAAATAGAATACGTTGTATCATCGCTAATGCTGGTTCGATTCCGATGATTTTTTTTAATGTAAATTACCTTTTATAAGTTTTATTATAAATTTTACCGTTGAATATATACTTAGCGAGTTACGCGCAAAAATATTTTTCTATTCTTTATAACTTTTTCCCCTGAATTTGCTCTTGAATTTAATACATATACAAATTTATTAGAAAATTACAGGAAAGTTTCAACAAAATTGTTAGAGCCGTTTTTGCACTATAGTCTCTAGAAAAATAATTTTTCACCTCTTGCCCAGCCGTTATTAAGCAGGCAGCGTCCAATTTGTGTCACAGACATCAGTAATCAAACCTCGAAAAAATAAAAAAAGAAGCAACAAAATCAGTTCACTAGTTCCCAAGATAATCTTGGCACAGACAGACAGACCAATAGCTAAAAATGTTTTTTTCGGACTCATGGAGCTCTGAAACGTATAGATTCGTCGAAAACCGCATACAGATAGATAGATAGATAGAAAAATAATTTTATTCTGGGACACAGTCCCTTGAGAATAACAAAATAGAACAAAATTAAAAGATCACATCTGGCCAAAATAAAATCAATCGAAAAAAAGAGATAATGTAAAAAAATATAAGGTAAACATTCTATATACAAAAAACGAAACTATATACAAAACAATTAATATTATGACAAGGCACTTAAAGCTATTTGCACTGATAGACTCATATACACTTTTGAGAAAATAATAAAGAATTAAAATTAAAAATGTATCAATGAATCAATCAATGAATTTGTATGTATCAAATTCTCTATTAAAATCAGCTCGAATGGTTAGCAACTATCTGACTCTTCTTGGGATAGGAATTGGAATAGGAGGGTTTTGAATTTGGATATGGATGGGGAATGTCGAATTTTGATAGGGAGGGAATTCCAGAAATCGACAGAGCGAACAGCAAAGGAATTTTGGAATGAGGCAGATCTGTGAGAAGGCATGTAAAGGTTAGAAGGTCGAGATCTTGTGGACAGGGAATGGACTGAGGATTTGAACTGGAGAAGGTTGTAGGCGTAAGAAGGACGATGGCTGTTGATGATTTGGTAGAGGAACGTAACTAGAAAATATTGTCTTCGGAAGGAGAGGAAAAGCCAGTTTAACTCAGCGTAGTGGTGAGAAACATGGGAGTATCTTGGGGCCCCGATCACAAATCTTACGCAGCTGTTCATTAGTCTTTTCAGTCTATCATGGAGCTCCACAGAGAGGCCATCATACACCACACAGCTGTAGTCAAAGTGGGGGAAAATGAGAGAGAGGGAAAATACGAAATTTGACCCGATCGCAATAATTTTCTTACCGAGTATAAGTAGAAAACTAAAAATCAACAAGCTTAATTACATCATAGATTATTAATAAGAACAGCTAATTGTTTCATTTATATGATGCTATTTAGAATTTAAATGTTTTACAGGTTGAAAGCATCTATTGGAAAAAATATTTTTAAAACCTAAGATTTCAAATAAACCGGTTTTGCCTCCACTAGTCACCCACATCAAAAATGAATTATTGTACTGTTTAAGTTGATTTGGTATTATTAAATGAGAAATTTATTGAAGTGAAATTATTTATTTTGTTTTAGTGATCTTAAAGTGGGTTTCATTTTTTATATATAGGGAATTTTTATTTTTTCGTTACATATTATTTTTCATTCATTAATCACTTGGAAAGTAAAAGTGGTTCAAATGAAAAGTACGTTCACGAAGTTTATTACCTTCACATTTAGTCACGGAAGTTGCGATATTTATTACTTCACCTGAACAGCTGATTCGAATGGAGTAGTCCGCAGTTTTATCAAATTATTTACTAATTTAATTTCCTAAAAAAATAGATGACAATATTTCGGAATAAGCAGACGTTGATACCTAATCATTTAAATATAATATCGGATCTAGAATTATTAAACTACAGTAAATGTATTTAAGGTTATAAACATATGCTTTATACATCCATGAAATGATTTTATATTTTACTTCTTCTTTCACACAAGTACAATGAAATAGTTTTTTTAACAATGTAACATTGCCTTGATTAGGTGGATTTTAAATATTTTTTCAAACTTAATAATATTTCAAGAGTTTACATTTATTTACTAATTAAATATAAACATTATCGTTGTTAAACGTTGTCTTGGCATCTTTCTTCAACAGCAGCAATGGCAGAACGGCCCTGGATATGTGTTATTGTTTCACAAGATTCAATTGCCCTTCTTTGTAAGGAATTAAGATCATTGACCGGACTTGCATACACTTCTTGTTTAATGTTCCCCCAAACAAAAAAATCCAGTGTCATGTGATATTTAACAAAAAGTCTATGCAAGTACGGCCAATGGTCTTAATACCTTACGAAGAAAAATTGAAATGATACCGAATCAGCTACCTTGGTAGTATGGCAAACCAGGATGGAGGGGCCGATGAAGATTTTGGGAGTCGTATAAGGAAAGCCCAAAAAGCATTCTCGCTGCTTTGGCCAGTGTGGAGATCCCAAGAAATCAGGAGGTGGACCAAGCTTCATATCTTCAACACAGATATTATGTAGGTTCTGCTATATGCTTGCGAGACTTGGAAAGTCACGAAGCAGGTGACCGAGAAGTTACAGACATTTATCAATAGATGTCTGCGGAATATATTGCAAATATGGTGGCCTAAAACAATCACTAATGGCGAGCTCTGGTCACGAACTAATCAAATCCAGATAGATCAGCACATTAAACGTCGGAAATGGAGAAAGCTGAGACATACGCTTAGAAAGGAACATAACGATATAAGACGACAGAGTCTGGAGTGGAACCCACAAGGCCAGCGGAGACGCGAACGGCCTAGAGAAACGTGTTGGATGACTTTAAAGAAGAAAATGCGCATCACCGGACAGACCTGGTCTGGAGTCAATGAGTTGGCTTAAGATAGAGACGCATGGCATACCACACGACCTTTTGTCCTAAGAGATTCTAAGAACTAATAATATAATAATCCTAGTCGAAAAAATAAAGTCTATGTTCAAGTCTCGACCCAGAATATTACTTGAGAAATTCATGCTATTGCACTCACTACCTACTTATATTAAATAATAGAGTGTACAAAAAAATGACCATTTTTCAACCAAATATTTCTATTATTATTTCTTTAATATAAAATGCAATGATTACTTAAAGTATAATCCATTTTTATCTACCGTCATTAGCCATCTGCTAGCCAATTGCTCGATCCCACGGTGATACCATTCTTTGGGATGGCTCTCAAAGAACTCTTGGACTCTTTTTCAAATTCCTCAAAATTATTAAATTTATTTCACTTGAAGAAAATGAGCCATGGATCTAAATAAGTATTAATCCGATGGTGCGAGGTCTTAAGTATATGGTGGATGAGGTAGGAGTCTCATATCAGAAGGTTTTTCTAAAATTTCTAACGTCTTAGCTGATGAGGAGTAAGTTAGTGAGGGACCAGTCTATTGCTCTTTTTCAACTTCCCCATGGAGAATAGATGGCGATCAACAGTATTTTTCGACATAGCACACTCCAAGTTCGCGAGTACTTGTGGACGGATTTAACTCAACAGCTTCCTGCAGAACTTTATCAATACCCTTTAACGGTCGCCTGGAGCTCTTCTACTTTCCAACGTCGTATCTCGACTGCTAAATGTTTCAAAACAACGCCGCTCAGTACGCTGGTCAAAGACACCATTCCCTTCATATTTAATAATTTCACGAGTTGTTTCAGCTGCTGTGAAGTTTTGTTTCCAGTAATTTCTTAAAATTACGAGAATTTCGTAGGGCACTATCGTTTCTTCTTTGGAACAAATAACTAAACTGAAGCTTTTTTTGAAGAAGTCGAATGGGATTGAAGCTTAGAGAATTCTCTAAACTGATTCTTAAGTACTGATAAGTATTAAATAAAATTAAAATGTTTACAGTCCTTTGAAATCATGAATTTGATAAAATGCCAATTTTTTTCTACACCCTATTAGTAACGGTTCTAGATAAAAGAAACTAGGCACTACCGTGAAAAGAAGCTAAGCCGGTTTAGAATGCAGTCCAAGTACTGAACTATCCGCAGTGTTATTTAATCCTTATTTTCTTCAGTAATACCGGATATAACGTTTTTTATTTATTCTATTTTAACTTATTCTAAGTTAACCACAATCAAAAAGTAGCTCAAATATTTGTTATAAATAGAAAAATCAAAAACTCTAAGAAAAAGTGTTGACGCACCTTGGTACATAATACTATTCAAATAATACTATAAATAACGACTTAAACATTTCAACAGTAAAATTCTACATCAATGATAAATACACTACATTTCATTCTTCAACCCAAAATCACTCTTAATCTTCTGGTTCTTTCTATCTCCTGCTTGCTCCCTGAACGGCGCAGATTAAAAAGAAAATGGCCAAGGGACCTACTATATCGATAAAAATAAAATCAAACAAATATACCAAAACAGTATAAATATAACAAATTTGCGAGATGCGCTGCCGCGCATGTGTAAATTGCATGGAATATAAATAAAAATTTAAAAAAATTCTAAGGAAATATCTGACTATATAAAAAGATAAACCAATATGAGTCTTTTTTTTCGAAATTAAACTGTAATCATTTTTTCGGTATCGCTTCTTATTTCAAAATAATCAATGAATCTTGTGGTATTTATTTTTCTTTCAAAAGCAAATATAAACTATTAAAAACAATGGTGTGAAAATAACTTTATATCATAAACCTTTTTTTAAAGGAATTTAATTATTAAGAATTTCTTAATTATTTTTTTTTAATACTGGTTTTGATATTGCAATTGAAATAAAAAATATAGGTTATGATTAGAGGAAGCTATCCACAAGTTATTAAATTTTAGGTGGTTGTTAATAATTATATTTTTAAAAATCTAGTGCGCGCATCACACGACGTTAACTTACCACCCTCTTAGTGGGCGGGGTGGCCGAATAGGCTAACGCGGGTGCACAGCACCGCCGTTGCCCGGCAACCTGATATATCAATCAAATGATATAAAAATAGTCACGAGTTCGCGTCCCGGTGCCCGAGGGAGTTTTTTAAATCCCCGCCTACACCCCCTGGCCTGGGAAAACCCCGTATAGCCTTAACGGCGATGAAGGGGAGGACCCAAAAAACTTACCACCCTCTTCTCAGCAGAAATAAGTATTTTCAGACAAAGGGGAAGCGAAAGTAAAATTATAGACGATATATTTATTTACATTTCATTGTGGGTGTTTTTATTTGTTTAAATCCCCTTATATAGACAAATTTTAATTTTTATATCGCGGAATTCTATACAATTGCATATTAAATATTACCAACGGTAGCATTTATGAAAACCTCATATGTATATGAACATAATATTGTCAGAGTCGCTCGTATTCCTTTTGTTCTTCCATTACAACTATTATCCGTTACGATCTCCTTCATTTGATTATCAATTTTTTTCATATTTTATATTTAATCATTTTTGTATTAAAGATTAACATGAAATGGTTAATTATTTCAAATAAAAAAAAATCAAAGGTACTTTAAAGAAAGCTAATATTGAAAATTAGTCATTTAAGCTCTGTTAGAGAACATCAATGAGAATAAAATCTACATTGTATTAAAAACTGCTTAAATCTTAGAATTAAACTGAGAAAATCGTAAACATGTGTTAAATTGATTACATGAAGGACCGATTCTGGTTTGCCGATTTTGATGAAAATGTTGCTGTAACATTTAAGCATTATAAAAACATCAAATACGCAATTTCAGTTTCGTACGGCTTTTCGTTTTTTAGCTAGGCTGTTCACATACATACACATACTCAGATCATTTTGCTGGACTTGGTTATTTAGATTCAAGGAACCTCGAAACGTGTATTTCCGTTGAAAACACAGATTCAAAAATTTTCAGCATCGCAATACATACCCTTCCTGTATATTAGAGATATAGGTAAGTTAAAGTAAAAAGAGTATATACTACGGGCTTTATGGATTTCAATATTTTTCCATCTATTTATTCCATTTTTACAAAGAATTTCTATGTATGTAGCATCTTTGCAACAGCATCGGAAAGCTTAAGATCATATACTATGCCTTTAATAAAGTAGATGAAAGGTTGTAACTTCGAAGTGTGAGGGTTCCACTGATTACGGCAATTGGCCAGTTATACAGCGGAACCAGATAGTGTGGTAATGGTCTCTTCCACGTGGAGCAAAACCTTGTAGGTCCTAATTTCACCTTGCCTTGGGTTCAATAATGTTTAATTATTAATTCAAATATTATTATTTTTTTATTATTGAACAACATAACATTCTATCAGTTGGACATTGGTTAGGGACTATTTATGGTTATAGACTCTGTAGTATAGTTGGAGGATGATCCGATGATATGATATGATCGGCTATAATTTGTGATTTTTTTTTAAAAAGACAGATTATCTTTAACTGCTCAAAATTTCTTTTTAAATGGTTTTAACACTGGCAAACTCTATTTATTTTTTAGTCATAACATTCAGGTTTGGTGCCATTTTCTCATAAGCTTTTTATAAAATATTAGGCCAAAGGTCACCAAATGTACAAAGTTTTTACATCCTGTATTATTTATTCGACGTTTCGGCTTCAGGAGCCATTTTCAAGATCCTGCAAACTAATTTTAATTCAGTTGTTATAATTCAAAATATATCCTTATTAGACACATATTAATTTAACAACTATCAGTTATATAAATAGTCCAAATTCTATTTTATATTTTTTTTTTATTATCTACCTACCATGCACCGATTCATAAAATTTCTAAAATCTATCATTACAATGTAATTTGCCTTTTAGTCATTCTTTTATTTCATAGAATGTCGTTTTTTCACTTCTAAGAAGTTGTAATAAAAAATAATTAATTAAATAGAATGTTAAAATTCTTTGAAAAGAATATTATTTGTTCTCAATTTATGTACCTCTTATATGCATACCTACTTATGTTCGCAGACGATATTAAGAAAAATGTTCCTCCTCACTAACGCATTCATACAGAACTGGATTTATTTTAAAAAGGACTGGGATGGAGGGATTAAGAATCAGCTTTTTTATCTGTTACATATCAGTACATTATATTTTAATTTTATCTATTGAGCTAGCCTAAAAAGTATTTAAGTTATCTACATCTGTCTGTTGATTCACCGATTTTTTTAGGTTATTAGTAATAAATATTGATTCAATTATTCTTCGTTTGTTAGTATTCTGTTCTCTACGCAAGACCGACGCTGTACCGAAATCAAATTTATGTCCATTGTTTTGTGGTATGCTGCGATAATCCTATGGCTAATTTTGATTTTGTCGTTTTAGAGTTCCAATTTTGTTTATGCTGCTGTATCCTATGTTCAAACTATTGTGAGGTTTGTCCGTAATATGCTTTATTTTCACAATCCTCGCATTGTATTTTATAAATAACTAGTAGGCCCGTGCGGAAAATTCGCACAGCATATTGTTATCAAATGCCAAATTAATAAAAAAATGCAACTTATCAAAAGATTAAGACATCAAATGTTACTTTATGGATAAATAATATCCACAAAGCAAACAAAAATTAATTTAAATCTTCATTTTTGTTAGGAACCAACATGTATACAAATTTCAGTAAGCTGTATATTTGCTAAAAATTGTCCGATTGCGATGATTTTTTTTTCCTTTTGTAGGGAATTTAGTAATGTTTTATATAATTATGGGCATAACCAAGGGAAAAGTGTGTAATTTTTCAGTTATTCGCAAATAAAGTTTATTTTCTTTCATAACTTGTTTGCCTGAATTTTCTGGGTGATTGGACTATTTTGCCAGCCTGAAGGAGAAGGAAGCCTTCGAAATTGGTGGCTCAATCTTGAGATTTGGTGAAAAATTAACGATGATATGGCTTGCCGATCAAAAACACCATCGATGAATAATATAAACTTCCCCTCTCTCGATCATAGAGACCTCAAGTCGACGAAATGAGACATGTATTCAATGACAGTACTGCAATTAATGTAAGGTTGTTTGGATGCGAACCCTATGCCTTGCGTTATCTCGAATATAGTACGTTTTTCGGCTTAAAAACGCAGGATCCGATAGTTCCGAGGGAACTATTCGGGTCTTGCTGTACGCATCAAAATCTTTATGATCCAATTTGTCCCGTATCGATCTACAGACCTACCACCGTTCCAGTATCGAAGCCTAGAAAAATGTTTGTATCGACTTTATTTATTTTAGAAAGAAAAACAAAAGTTTAGAATACGATTCGCTAACCCCCCGTGAAATTATGAATCCAACGGTACCCCATTCGTGGTATTTGAGCATGACAGGAGCTTATATTTGGTACAAAACCAATTTCGAGCCTTACTGTAATAATATATGTACGGATATTAGTTAATTTTTCTTTTGGAATAATAATTCTACTATATAATTTATCTAATTTATTAACAGGTTTTTTCCCACATCTAATTTCATTCATATCATATTTTTTTTAAGTTTTTTCTATTTTATTAGTTAAACCTCTAATATAAGTGAACGAAAAATGGAGGATTTTGAAAATGGCTCCTGAAGCCGAAACGTCGAATAAATAATACAGGACATAAAAACTGAGTACATTTGGTGACCTTTGGCCTAATATTTTATCACGTTTATAGTGAATCAATTGTTAATATTTTAAATTAAATAATTTTTCCGTTATCGCTTTCTATTCAACAAAA